GTGCTGAAGAGAAAGCTACAGAACCACATTATTTAATTAATTAGCTGCACGTTCTCCTGTCCTCTGTCCTCCGGGCCACACACGCACACACACACACACCCACACGCACACATCCACACACACACTCCATATATAGAGACACAGCACTCCTTTATGATTATTCTATGCTTAGGTGTTGTAAATAATTAATGTCCTTTTAGTTCATATTTACTGACTTTTTATAAATCTTCTAGGTAAATTTTAGGAAGGGTTTTTTGTTTGCATTATACATGAATTTAGAAATATTGTAGTCCACTAAGCCATAGAATTTTAATGTTTTTGTTTTTATGAATAATGGGTTAGATGGATCTCTGTAATTACTCCTTGTAATCAATCAATCAATCAAATTTTATTTCAGACAAGGGGTATGTCCATAACAAGAATAAAATAAAAATAAAAATGAAATACAAACACATTCTAATTACAAACCGTATAGGCAGTTGTTCCAATGTTTAAAAAGGACTGAGGAGTACCTCGTGTCACTGTAAGATAAAGATGACCGCGCTCTAACAACCGCGTTAGCTGACAAACTCAGTCGGCAGATGAATTTGTACATGAAGAGCCTCAGAAGCGCATGAAAAGTTGGGATGTTACTCGTAACAAACATGTGACTTGCCGAAGTCCATCTAGGGAGCTTCATGAGGATTCTAAAAGCATCCTGATAAGCCACTTGAAGCTTCTTCATTACTACCTTACTATAGTTGCACCACAAGTGGGCGGTATAGAGAGGAGTACAAAAGGAACGAAAGAGGGACACTTTAACAGGATCTGAGCACATGCCAAAGTTACGTGCCAGAGTGTTAGCCTGCATGTTCAGCTTACCGCATTGCCTCTTAATGTCCTCGTCATCACAGAGGTCACTTCTTAAAATGTGCCCCAAGTATTTTACTTTGCTTACCACTTCGAGGACCTGATTTGTTAAGTTAAAAGATGGAAAATTAAGCTTCAGGTCCCCTTTAGTAGCAGCAATCATAACCACACTCTTTTTAGGGTTAAACAGGATGTCAAATTGCTCACCGTACTTAGCACATGCCCTGAGCAGCTGCTGCAGGCCTGCGCTATAGGGAGACATGAGGACTAGGTCATCTGCATATATTAAATGATTTAATGATTCTTATTGCTTTTTTTGCAACATATAGATAGAATTTGTATAAGTTTTGTATGTTGTGCCCCAGATTTCTATACAATAGTTCAAATATGGTGCAATAAGTGAATTGTATAATAAATATAGGGAGCTATCATCCAGTGACCATTTTACTCTATGTAACATTGCAATTGTTTTAGCTATTTTAGTTTTCACATTGTTTATATGTGGCTTCCAAGATATATTTTCATCGATTATAACTCCCAAAATCTTTACTCCTTTTACTCTTGTAGTATTAGTAGTATTGTAGTATTAATTTGTATAATTGGGAGTTTTTATTAGCATTTCTACTCATAATGCAGTAAAAACACACATTTAAATAATAATCCTTCAAAATGACAGTAGAACAGGCACAAATATGGTCTAGGACTTAAATGTACTAACTTTTAACACCAGAGCAGGCATGACGTATTCTGAGAATGATCAGGAACACTAACTGGTTCCAGTTGGATGACTGGAGGTTGATGGGAAGATAAAAGATCATGGCGAGGAAATAATGATCTGACGAACAGGTGAGCGGACCTTCCTTACATGGGAAGTCCTGATGTCACGTTAAGAAGGGGATGCTGCAGACCCGCAGATTCACACCTGCAGCAGCGAATCTGGTGTGATCTCCAGCCTGATCACAACTTCCTCGTTCCTCGCTGCCCCTGATGCACTTAAGCATCCGCCCCTTAGCTGATGACAGCTTCAACACACCTCGCTGCTTAATGATAGTAATGCATGTGATGTTTAGACAGAGACTCATCTCAGAAACGTATAACTCCCCGACAGAATTGTTTAGAAAATCATCAGAAAAGTTTCAGAGTGTTTCTGTTTTAACGTAAACTTCTGTTTTCAACTTTAAGACACGTTGTTTGTGATTGTTTACAGAGTAGTGAGAACACGGAGCGTTGTCCCAGCGGCAGCCAGGTGCCTCTCGTTTGTCTGACTACTTTCATAAACTACTGTTAGGGCACAGAATTATTCTGTCTGGTGCTTTCAGCGCTGCACAGATGTTACGTAAATGTTAAAAATATAGCTTACCGCAACTTTTGTAAAGTTTCCGTTGCCACCGGGCAGCCGAAGCAGAGACGATCTCTGAAAAATGTCCGCGACACGGACTCCGTTGTTGTCTGGAAGTTTTTTTCCCCCAAGTTAAGAAAAGAGGCGGACGTGTTTCCTAAATCCTGCATCAGTCCAAGCAAGGCAACTTCTTTCTGTTTTTATTACGTTTAGTAGCCATTAGCACTGTGCAGTGTTGTGTGCGTCAGTGATATTCAGTCTACGAGGAAGTCGTGCAATGACAAAGGTTCCGCCGTGCTCGAAATGCAACCTGCGATTAAATGCGTTAATTTTTTTTAACGCGTTATTTTTTTCTAATTAATTAATTGTAATTAAAGCGTTAAAGTCCCGGCCCTAGTATATATATATATATATATATATATATATATATATATATATATATATATATATATATGAACTCCTCCGGGTCGTCTTGAGCCATGTCTTTTCCTCGTCCTGCAGCTCTTCCTCCAGGCATCCCTGCCACTCAGATAGATGTTCAATTTGCGTAATCACCACAACGTGATGTAGATGGTCCTATTAATGGAGAGTGTAATCTCTTCAGCCATCGTCTGTTGGGGTAGCAGCATCAGAAGCAGGGACCTGAAAAGGCTCAACAGCCTAATAAAAAAGGCTGGTTCTGTTCTGGGGACGACTGTGGAACCACTGGAGGAGATGATGCAAAGAAGCATAGGCGTCATTTTAACCGGGGACGCCGGGGACATGTCCCCGGCAAAATTTGTGATTGGCAGCTGTGTCCCCCCCACTTTCAAAAACACCTGCTGATGAGGATTTTTGTTTTACCAGCTCAGATCTTATCCAGGGGTCGGCAACCTGTTCCCATCAAAGAGCCATTATTACCCGTTTCCCACGGTAATTTTGGACGGACCTTAATAAGCAGCGACTTAGTGAAGCAGACAGGTTGCGCTAGAAAATGTCGTTTAAAAAGACGTCATAAATGTGTTCCCCCGTCATTTTTATTTATAAAATATGAAGTAAAAACTCCCAATTTAATTTTCATTCATTTGTCATTAATATGTAGTCTACACCCGTGCGTTAAGCGGACCATCTTCCAGTAAAAGCAAAACATCCAGCCCACCTCTCCAAATGCGTAAAATGTGCATCAGCCGCTAGTTAGGCGCGCGCGCTCCGTCAGCTACGTCAGCCCAGACAAGAGCAGAGCAACTAGAGAAAGAATAGAGGATCATTGTGTCTGGATGTGGATGGAGATTACATTTTACAGCAGCCTGATCATCATTTAAATAAAACCATCACCTGTCTTCTAGTCCACACTATCAGCATTATTTTAATTGGTGTGTGTGTGTGTGTGTGTGTGTGTGTGTGTGTGTGTGTGTGTGTGTGTGTGTGTGTGTGTGTGTGTGTGTGTGTGTGTGTGTGTGTGTGTGTGTGTGTGTGTGTGTGTGTGTGTGTGTGTCTGTCTGTCTGTCTGTCTGTCTGTTAATGTTTTCAAACGGTTATGGGAATTTGGGGTCATTTAAATTCTGTAAAGCACTTTGCTTGAAAAGCGCTTTATAAATAAAATCTCATTGATTGATTGAGTGATTGATTGATTGATTGATTGATTGGTTGATTGATCCAGATTACCTCTCTGAACTATTGGTTTTTTACTACCCTGCACGGTCTCTGAGGTCGGCTGATAGGATGCTCCTGGAAGTCCCAAAGACCAGAAGTAAGCTCAGAGGTGACGGGGCTTCTCTGTAGCAGTCCCTAGGCCTAGACTCTGGAATGAGCTGCCTTTGAGCGTTAGGTCGGCCTCTTGACCCTCTGGTTTTAAATACCTTCTGAAAACCTATTTATAGTTCTCCGGGAACCGGTAATGGTTGTTGAATACCATTTTAAGGTGCTATACAAGTAAAGTTGCCTTGCAGATTATATGTGATAATATGTGGAACATGTATTCTAACCACCATGGTTCTTCTGCCTAGCAGGATCAGTCGGTGGAGAATCCAGCAGGTGGCGCTAGCGCACCTTTACGCGGGTCACGGACCACCGGAAGCAGCAGAAACCGGAAGCTGCTAGCAGAGCTAGCTTGTTGTTGTTGTGGTGTGTGAGGAGAAGATTTGAGGCTCTGCAGTAAAAACGTCTTCACTTCAGTCTCTGGGAGAGTTGATCAGCTAAAGCGACTAACTGCTGCTGCTGCAGAAATCTTCTCACCAGGCTGTGGAAACTTTCTTCTCCTCCTCAACAACTTGGTGGAGTTCTTTCCAGAAGCAGAGAAGCTATTCTGCGGTCTTCGTGACAATCGGAGCTCCAGAAGCAGGTGATGGGTGAGAAAAGCTTTTCTCTAGACTTCCTGCCCTCTGGATCTGCTGCTGTTCCTTTGGCCTCTCTGAGAAACGCGCTCGTTTTGCTGCTTTCATCAGATTGAAGAGGTTCCCTCTATCAGACTCGCTCATCTGAGTTGGTCATGATGCAGGATCGCTGCTCGCTCTCTCATCCATCCTGCTCACACTCTCCGACGGAAAAGGCCCGAATCTGAATGTGACTCTGGAGGAAAAAGCGGTTAGCTCTACTCCGTGAACTCTGGTGAGCAAAGGTCCTCTTTTCCAGACTGGATGTGTCCTCAGCTGATCAGAACCAAAGCGTTGGATCTTTAATCTCCTGCGTTGTTCTGAAGCAGCATCTTAATCAGCTCTCCTGCTTTGTTTCTATTGCAGCTGTTAGCTAAACACGGCTAAAGAAAACCTGCTACCACTTCAGGATCATCCATCAGCTGGGACTGCTTCATCAGCATGGACACAGGTACTGGTGTGTGTGTGTGCGTGTGTGTGTGTGTGTGTGTGTGTGTGTGTGTGTGTGTGTGTGTGTGTGTGAGTTCCTCTCCTATTAAAACAGCACCATCTCTGCAGGACTGCAGGAGTTGTTTGAAGACTCGTTCGTATCGTTTGGCTTTCGTGAGTCGTGGTTTGGATCTTTTTAACCAGCTTGTTAATTTGGCTGCTTTTGTGATTTTGTTGAGCCTTCCTGCTCCTGACGGTGGTGGAAGACACCAGAGAACTAGCTCCAGGGCTGGAGTCGTCCTCTCTTCTGCTGCACGTGGGTGAACATTAAATAGGGAGACACAGCAGGAGACGTCTGTAGTTTGTGAAGAACTCGCTTTACACCACTGTTCCTGGTCACTCTCTCTCCTTCGTTCGTCCTTCTCTGACTCAGCTGCATGAACAGACTCAGGTAGGCCACGCCCAAACTTCCACCTCTGGATGACCATGCAGCACCTAGCTCCTCGGCCTCCATCTGTGTGTACGTTTACTTGAACCTCCGTCGGTGCGCCCCAGGGCAGCTGTGGTTCCTGCTTTTAGATCTCTCACAGGTTCTGCTCCATGGTATCGCTGGTTCCTTATAGAGATTTGTACCAGCAACCACCCTCCGTTCTGCAGGCCACGCTAGGCTGGTGGCCCCGAGGTGGAGGCCTTCTTTCTGTCGGTACCGAGACTTAGGAACGAGCTCCCACGTGAGGTCAGACGAGCCACCTCCTAGCAGAGTTTAGCTCCTATCTGAAGTTCCTGGTGTGAACTAGCAGGCTGCTGGTTGGTTGGTTCTCTTCATGTCTCTGTCTAAACCAGGCGCAGCGTCACTCTGTTACAGGTGTGAATATGAAGGTACCGTGGTCAGTAATTCACATGTTTCCTACAGATGTTCAACAGCTGGTGCTGGTTAAAGAAGCTCCTGGTGAGGACCAGCAGGACCCAGAACACCTCCACATAAAAGAGGACCAGGAGGAACTCTGGACCGGTCTGGAGGGAGAGCAGATCCATCTGAAGGAGGAGACTGATGCTGCCAGGTTTCCAGTCACTGTAGTTTCTATAAAGAGTGAGGATGATGAAGAGAAACCTCTGATCTCACAGCTTCATCAGCAGCAGATAGAAGACAGAGATGTTCCAACCAGCAGCTCAGCTGGTGGAGGAGCAGGAACTAGCAGGAACCAAGATCTGAACCATCATGAGCAGACACTTGGTCCTTCCGAGGCTGAAGTCAGTGGAGATGATGAAGAGGATGATGATATGGGTGTGGACTCTGAGCTGTCACACGCTGGGTCTGAAACTGGTGACGATGACTGGAATGAGAGAAGGTCTTCTGAGTCAGATGGTAAGACTTTTGCTGGCCTGAGTGTGATAAACAGTTTCTCCACATGTGTTGTCTCCAGAAACATGTGAGGGTGACTGATCGGTCATTCAGTAAAAAGGTCTTCAGGCTGTTTGGTTACTAAGAAATGTGCCAGAGTGCAGCAACATATCGACTCATGCAGGAACGTCCATAAAAAACTAAGATAATGTAGTTCTGTCCGACTGTGGAAAAAAGATAGTGGGGCAGAAAGATATTTAGTCAGCCTCCAATGGTCTAAGTTCAAGTCCAAGATGAGAGAGGTGTACCTCAGCTATGAGCGACAACACGAGGAAAACCCAAATAATCACCTTTTATGCCATGTTGCCTCAGGAGGACACCCAAAGGCAGGAGATAAATTGAAAATAAAATGGGGCCAAGGATGGAGCCCTGTGGTACACCCCATTTTAGATCCACCCAAGTCAAAGATGCCTCCACTAATTTTACGCAGAAACTCATGACAGGTCGGAACGTATCCACTCCAGTACCAACCCAGTTATCCCTACCCATTTCTGCAAACGATCCAAAAAGATCGTACGGTCAACCGTATCTAAAGACGCAGATAAATCCAAGAATAACACAACAACATCAACAACATCCGCCATATCACAAGTCATAAGAATAGCATTATGGACCATGAGAAGAGCAGGCTCTGTGCTATGCCCGGGCCTAAAACCCGATTTAAAAGTCTCCCAAAGTTCATGCAGAAGCATCCAGGATGGACAACCGTTTTTTTTCTGAGTTGTCAGAACAACACCATCGCTGAGACTGCCATTAATCTGTTTCCCTGGTGTGTAGACTGGTTTTTTCATCACAAGTCTCTAATGTTGGGGTGGTATCTCACTGAGGTCTTTCTTTACAATAGCTGTCAAAGGTCTTCGATCTATTTCATCTACAGAACTTGATCTCTGATCAGCGAATTATGAAGTTGCACGTTCTTGCCTTTAACTTCAAATTCGTCAGAAAGACATCAAAGCTTATATCCTGCTGCTGAAAATGTGCGTGAAACATGAACCTCTCGAATGTCTCACCTTTCTTTGGTGTTCAACAAACTTTTGCAACACCGTGTCAAGCTTGTCCCAGTCGTCCACTTCTTGAAAGACAAAGATATTTGAACACCTCCACAGCTCGAGGTCCAACAACAGTAAGTAACAGGACGGTCTTGCACACATCAGGCTTGCTATCCAGTCCAACAGCTTGCAATACAGCATGAACCATTGCTTGAACAAACGCCATTCACAATCCACATTTCCAGTCCAAACAGCAGCATCTGGAGGCCTTAAGCTTGGTTTATGCTTGACACATTCACTTTCCGCGTGGTGATGCGGCTCGCGGATGGAACGCGTTTGACAACTCGCAGTGTTTATGGTTCGTGCGACTTGTCTCTGCGGTGAGCCAATATTCTCCCAAACTGTAGGGGGCAGCTTGGAGCTCTACGGCAAACATCCAACACTACACCATAGTAGAAGTAGAAATGACTGTTTACAACATGGCATTCCAGCATTTTTAACAGCGTCCTCGTCTTTTCCGACAGTGCGAGCTATTTCTCTCCAAGAATTATTAACAACATGTTGATCACGGTGATCTCTGAGAGCTGAATCATACAAATGTCTGTATTTACCAACCTCTGCCATACTAGTTCTTGCCGGTCCGCCATGTTTTTCCGCGTCCGTCCGCGTGGTTAGAAAATTTCGGAGGTGCGCGTTGTGGAAATCTTGGTCCATGCGGAGACGCGGTGGAGGGGCGTGGTTGTTAAAATTACGCAAAATGATGCAACTTTTCCGCGCGGAGCCGTGCGGACCTCGCGGACGCGTCAAGCATAAACCAACCTTTACACTGTCTATGGGGACCCCACTCCTGATACCATAGGCCACAGCATGTTTAATCTCAACCAGAGACATCGATTTCAGCAGACCGTTCCCGTTCAGATGATTTTAGCAAACCTGACCCAGATTGTCAGAAGACTGGTGGCAGTTAAAAGAAAAAAATTATGAAGATAACTTAACGGCTGTATCGTTTTTATTGCTGTGATCGCATCACTCTTTTCTTCCTTCTTACCTGTCTTCCCTACTTCCATTAATGTCACAAAGTATCCCCAACACGTTTCCAGCTTCAAGTGTGTGTGTTTGTGATTTTTACAGGGTGTGCATCAAGCAGGAGTCCAGGGCAGGATTTGGATTGGAATGAAGCCGGCTGGCAACCCAACAAGATCCCCTTCACTGCAACTTCTGGACCCCGAAATGCTGCTGCAGACCTAGACTGTGATGTACCAGCTAAGTTCCTGGAGCTCTTCCTGACTGATGAGCTGCTTGATCATATTGTGCATCAAACCAATCTGTATGCAAGTCAGTATTTTCAAGCACACCCTGACCTTCCTCATCATAGCAGAGGTAATGCTTGGAAGCCAGTGTCGGTCTCAGAACTGAAAACTTTCTTTGGACTAACTTTCCTGACCGGCTATGTCAAAAAGCCAAGCACTGAAATGTACTGGAGTGTGGACGAGGTGGATGCCACGCCTTATTTCAATAGAACCATGTCAAGGAACAGGTTTGAGATTATATGGAAGTTTCTGCATTACAATGACAATGCAAATCTGGATGGGATGGACAAAATGTACAAAGTCCGCCCAGTGTTAGATTACATTGTGGGAAGGTTCAGGCAGATGTATCAGCCAGACAAAAACATTTGCATTGGTGAGGGTATGATGCTGTGGCGAGGGTGCCCATCTTTCAGGGTGTACAGCTCTCAAAAGCCTGTGGAATATGGAATCAAGTCCTACATATTGTGTGACTCTGCCACGGGTTATTGTTTCAACATGAGGCCTTATTTTGGGGAAGGTAGTAGTTTGCCAGACACCGTGTTTTCTCTTCTTGATCGCCTTTCAGGTCACGGCTATACACTGTATATGGATAACTTCTACAATTCTGTAGCATTGTGTGAGCGCTTACTGGAAGCACAGACCAATGTCTGTGGAACACTGAGGTGGAATAGGGGCGAGCCTCAGGTCATCAGGGATTTGGTAAAAAACGATCTAGGGACTGGGGATAAAGTTGTGCGGCACAATGACAAAGTCATGGTAGTAGCATGGCAGGACAAACGATTAGTGAAGATGGTGACAACCTGCCACCAAGATGGGATGCAGAAGGTTGATGTGTGGCAGAAGGGGCACAAAGACAAGGTTGCTCAGTTCAAGCCAGAGTGTGTTGTTGCATACAACTCTCACATGAATGGAGTGGCTAAGTTGGACCAAAACATTTCCTACTACCCCTTCATCCGCAGGTCGCTGAACTGGTCCAAGAAGTTTGTAGCCTACCTGTTCCAAATGTGCATGTTTAACGCCTATATCCTGTACCGAGCCAGAAACCCTGGGGGATGTAACACACTTTTGAAGTTCATTCGTAGTGTAGTGAAGTCCTGGACCTTGAAGGGACATGAGCGGAAAGGGAGTGAGGTGAGGGAACAGGTAGAGGAAGAGGAAGGAGCAGGTGTTGAGGATGGGGACTTGAAGGACGTCCGACATACTCCTAGAGCACCCTATAACACTGACCCAGAGAGCAGGCTAGATGGAGACCTGGGCAGACACAAACTCTGTTACCTGAAACCCACCAGTAGGAAGTTGAAACCAACAAAGAGGTGTAGGGTCTGCATACGCAGAGGAACTCGCAGAGAGACAAAAATGATGTGCAGGGCCTGTTGTGTCCCTTTGCATGCTGGACAGTGTTATATAGATTACCACACTAAAGAGAAATACTCTGTGCAGGGGTAGACAGACACACACATATATTTGTATGTATATGTTTGTGTGTGTAGCGTAAGAAAGCCATGGAATGCAAAGGTCATCTCCACTTCGCTGGAGAAGCCGTGCTTTCCAAACCAAAACATGCTCTGTTTATGACCTTGCCATCTGTGAACCGTCGTAACAAAATCTCTTTCTCTTACCATGTTCTGCAATTTACAAGACTTCAAGAAGAACAGTTTCTCCAACTTTAATAAAAGGATCATATTCTGTTTTATACAATGGGACTTTGTTAACTTCTCCTACTTTTGTCTGTACTCTAAATGGTCCGGCCTCAACGGACCCTTAGAACAGAGGGCCGCCGCCAGCCAAAATGCTAAATTAACACCTCTTGGGAAACCAAGCCAGTTCATTCAGTGGAATACTTTAGCGGCATCGAACCATCCTTTTTCTGAACCAAACAACTATTGTTTGTTTTGACCTGCAACAACTTCATCAGATGTAAAACGACCCGCCAACTTCCAGCAGAAGTACCGGGGGTATCGCTTTACCAGCAGCGCATGTTCAGAAGGAACTCTGAGAACTCTCATCACAAGGGTATCGTAGCTCTGCACACTGGTGTTGGATGGGTTAAGGTTAATTTAATAGCCGGCTGTGATCACAAGCAACAACAGAGTAGTTCCCGCTGCTTCTTCGGGAAACAGCGCAAAAAAAAATCAATAAAACTTGGGATCTTGTAGGCGTGGCGCTGGGATTTCAGCCGTGGCGAGCCGCCGCGGCTACGCTATGTAAGGGAAACACTAGACCCAGTGTGTCACTTTTAATGGTATCTCCTCGAGCTTCTTACAGGTGTTTTCAGGGGTTCCGCAGGGCTCGGTATTGGGCCCGCATTTATTTACCACCTGTGTGAATGACCGTTGTTTTGACTGTTCACAGTGCTTTATTTCATTTTTATGCTGATGACACAATCATTTACAGTAGCAGAGAAACTATTCATCAGACCTTTGAATACCTGCAGGATGCCTTTGATATTGTACAATCCCGGCTATTTTATTTGAAGCTTGTGTTGAATGCAAGTAAAAGTAAATAAGATTGACATCCAAAGTTTAGCTAGGAAACTTAGGTTAAAGCTAGGGTTCTATTGTAGGAATAGGGCTTGCTTTTCTTTTGCAGCAAGGAAGAAACTGGTTGAGGCCACTTTTCTGTCTCTTACGGACTCTGGTGATTTTTTTATATTTATATATTTTCACCAACTAGATTCAGTTTATCATGGAGCACTGAGATTTATTACAAGGTGTAAACGTCGTACACATTGTTGCGCTCTGTATAATCTAGTCCAGTGGCCTTCATTAGCTCAGCGCAGGCTAACCAGGTGGCGACTTTAAATACACAGCCATCATCGGGATGTTGCCTCCTTACTTATGTAGGCTTCTGTCTTTCAAGACCAGCACTCGCTCACTTTGGTCTAAAGCTAATCTCCAGCTAGCTGTGCCTAGAGCTTGTACAGAATTAGGTAAACAAGCATTTAGGATGTCTGCTCCATCAGCCCGGGACCAGCTACAGAATCACCTGAAACTAGAAAACCCGGTCTCTTAAGTGGCTAGTAAAGGAACAGGAAGCGAGCACAATCGGACCCTGTCCCTGCCTCCAAAAATAGGAAACGCCTATGGTGCCTATGGTGGTTGTCAAGACGAAAACTTCCATTCCTTAATGTTGGTCGAATCACTGAAACATCAATGCGTCATGTCTAGTATGTTTATCCCATTGTATGTGTGTGTATGAAGGTGTGTGTGTGTACGTGTGCGTGCACGGCAGGGTCACCGGAGTTGGATCAACACTGAGGTTTTGGGTCCAGTGGACTCATGTAGTCACTCTCGGTGTGGGTGTTGATTCGGCACTGGTAATTTTGCTGTGAGTGCATATTCATGTGTGTGTGTGTGTGTGTGTGTGTGTGTGTGTGTGTGTGTGTGTGTGTAATTGTATATGTATACTCACACATATATATATGTTATCTACAAATTTTGGTTGAACCGTTTGTAATGTCAAAATTTTATGTTTTTACTTTCATTGTTTTTATTAACCTTTTTTTCTTTCTTATAAACTGTATTTTTATATGACTTTTTTTGGCGGCATTCTTGACCAGGGCACCTTTGCAAAAGAGACTTGATCTCAAAGGATTTCCCTGGTTAAATAAGGGTTAAATAAAAAAAGATCGTGTTTCTGTAAAGTTTGGGTATTGTCTCAGGTTGTATTACTTGAATAATCATTTATCTACAGTTATTCTGTATAATCATTAGTCGTAGATATATAGTAATAAATTGCTTTTGTAAACTATATATTTGCTTCTGTGTCAAATTATTGATAAGTGACTTCCTGGGATGGTCGCCGCCTAAGCAGACACGCTTTACCAAGCTCCGACAATCTCTGAACTACAACCCTGTTTTAAGTTGTGTATTTGATATCCAAGGGCGCAGACTTACTTGTCTTTAAAGCAGAATATGCCTGGTCCAACAAAAAATACAAAGGACAAAGGGAGGTCGGCAACTCAGACAAAGCTTTCCGAATTTGGGAGACCTAGCAAAGAGGCTAATTCCACTGAAGAAACTAGCATTAGCAACGTGGCTAGCGCTGGACTGGCCGAAACGCCGCCTGAAACCTTGAGGGAACATGCTGGCGCTAGCAATGAACTCAGGCTTGTCAAGGAGGAAATTCTGAGGGCGGAGGGTGAGCTCAGATCTGAGTTTATGGGCAAACTGAACGGCATTTTGAAGGTGGCGGAAGAAACGGCTAAGCAGCTATCTGACTGCACCAACAGAGTTGGCCAAGCCAAAACGTGTCTTTCCGGGGTTGAGGATGATTATTTCGTATTAAAAGAAACGGTGGACAAGCTGGAGCAGAGACACCAAACCCTCGAGGATAAGCTTGTGAATATGGAAACGAGGTCTCGCTTGAACAACGTGCGCCTTGTCAATCTACCCGAGGGGGCAGAGGTTCCAGACCCCTGTGCATTTCTACAGAGCTGGCTTCCAGATGCATTGGATATGCAACTGCGGGCACCTATAGTGCTGGAGCGAGCCCACCGCATTGGGCCAAAACAAGGGCACCGGAGATCCTCCAAGACCCCCTAATAATGAAGTTCCAGAACTACAAACAGAAGGTCGCCATGATGGATGCTGCAAAAAGGAAGAAGGACATTTTCTACAAGAATATTCGTGTGAGGCTTCACCAGGACTTGGCTACCGAGGTACACAAACAGAGGAAGCAATATGACTGTGCGCAAACAACTGTGGGAGCTGGGACTGAGACACGGAATAAGATCGCCCTCTACAGTGCTGGTAATGTATGGAGGTGGAACACTGACTTTTAACAAGCCGTCAGAAGTCGAGGATTTCATACGCAAGGTCAAAGGGAAACGATCTGATTAATAGGTTGGAACTCCTGGTTTTTTAAACATTATCGAAGTGTACTGTTTAATACAAGGTAATTGAGCTTATAGTCCTGTTCAGACATCAATGCTAACCATGTCCAACTAATATAGTTGTTCTCTGTTTTATAACGGCCGCTTTATTTCGCCTCATACAGTCAAATAAGCTGTATTTATATAGTGGTTTGGGCCTGCTTCGCTGTTTTCCCCGTGGGTCAGGCTAATGTTAAGAACAGCCTGTAAAACTTTCAGTTACATTGCAGTTGACTATCTTTAAGTCTGCGCACAACAATATATTTAACAGGTGACAAAATCTTATGGAGAAGGTAAGCTTTAGGAATATCTCTGCTTGGTTTTGTTGTTTTTTCTTGTTTTTTGTTTTGTTTTTTTGTTTTTTTTTTCTTTTCCAGTGGCGTACCATAACACCAAGGGTGATTGATCTTGGATCTGTCGCTAGAGGTTAAAGAAAGTTAACATGATTGGGGGGTACAACAACCTAAGGTGGAGGAGGGGGTTGTTTTTTGGTTCTGAAGTTCAGCCAGTTTGTGGCTTTGTGGTTCTGTGGTCAATCTTGCCCAGTCAAACAGCGTACCAGAATTACATTTTCCCTTCTCTTGTCAAATGTCACAGAGTGTGAAGCTTAAATTTATGTCCTGGAATTGTAGAGGTTTACAGAAAATTAAAAAGATTAAACAAGTCATGAATAGATTAAAGGGGCATTATGGAAGTGTGACAGCCAAAACATGTATAGAAATAATAAATGTCTTCTTCGTATATTCTCCTGCAATGCCCTGGTCCTGTAGAATGAGCCCTGGCATTTTTACTGTGATTGCCTGTTTTTCTGTAAAATCACAGAAAAAGAGATGCTCGGGTCGAGCAGGCTGCTTCATGCGCGTTCACGCTCAGGCATCGCCCGTAGCATTTGCTATCCGTAGCTTTAGCAGCAGAGAGAGAGGCAGTGCCACTTTGTCGCTGTTCCTAACGCCTAGTGACAAAGCTAGCTACATTTCTGAGGACCCTTAGCTACTTTCTGTAGAACTTTCTTCTAGATATTTCCTGCTAATTAGCAACAAAATAGCCATTTTCACTCCAAACCGTGCTCTGAACGTTGTTTCAGTTGTCATCAAGGATTTAAATGTATACAATGGATATCATTGGTGCTATAGCTCACCCAGTAAGATGTTGGGCTCTTGTGTAGAAGACCCGGGTTCGATTCTTGATGTGAACATAGTTTATTTAGAGTTTCTTTTTTACATTAATGGTATTTTTTTTACAGTAAGATGCCCAAATTTTTATTTGAGACTCGCCGAACGGCATTGAATTCACAGATAAAAAAGATGTGGGTTCAACTTTCATTTTGGAACAATTTTTCAAGAGCATGCAGGAGGATTGAAGCATCTTAAACCTTTGTCGGCTGTGCTGAAGAGAAAGGTACAGAACCAAATTATTAAATTAATTAGCTGTGTGTTCTCCTTTCCTCTGTCCTCCGGGCCCCCCACACACACACACACACACACACACACACACACACGGGACTGTCTCAGCTGTTATTTTCGTTAAGGAGTGTTGTTACGGTTGCCAGTCTGGCCAGGGAAGAGCAGGAGCCAGGATCACCCAGCTCTGGTGAAACAGCCTGACACCGCCCCTCCTCCTCCCCCTCTCTCCTGGGCTGCTGAGGAGCACAGCTGAGCTGAATCTTCCTTGATTGCCAACACATGTATAAAAAGGCTGTGCCTTTAGCAGTCTGGAAGCCAGCAGTGCAGGGGTTCTGCTGTCCTCCTGGTGTTTGGTTTGGTTTCAACCCCTTTCGTTTAGATTTGTTTGAGTTTTAAACTGTAGTAGTTTTTAACACTAAGTGATAAGTTTTGGATGATCCAGTGGGACCTTTTTGGCTGTTTGGTTTTAAGGTTAACTTTGTTTGTGGCAATTTTACTGAGCTCGGTTTTAAACACCTTTCGTTGTGGTAAAGCTTTTAAAATAAGTTTTTACCAGGTGTTTTTAGTCAGTGGATTGTTTTGGAACTTTTATCAACTTCAGGATTTTAAAACACCTTCTGTTCGGTTAAGCTTTTAATACAAGTTTTAACCAGGTGTTTTATAGTTGATAATTTGCTGTGTAATGTTAACCTTTTTCAGAGTTTTAGAGAGTTCTGTTTGTTTTGCATTATTTTTATAATGCACCGTCGTCATCTGTTTGTGCGTTTTTAAAACCTTTTTGTTACAATAAAACCCTTTTAATATCCACTGTCCAGTCTTATGTTACCCCCATCCTTCACATTTTTACAACACCTGTCGGGGTTTGTAACATAAATGGGGGCTCGTCCGGGATTATTTTTTTTATAACAAAAGACCGTGAAGGAATGCAAAAATCCCCTGGTGGTGGTGTTTTAATGGTGTTTTATTTGTTTTAAATGTTTTAAGCAACAGATGGTGTTATGGATGACTGGCGGGTGTTCCTGGTGGCCCCGCCCCCGCAGGAGGATCCAGCCAAGCATGAAAGAAGTGGACCCAGAGATGACACCACAGGCAGGCTCAGGTGTTGCACCTATTGGGTTAGTGTTGGTGATTCAGTTCACCATCTCGGGAGCACCCCAGGAAGGGCAGTGGCTAACCCCCCTCCCTTCGCTGGTTTGTATGTGCATCAGCACATGTGCTTAATCTGCCCGCCCGCGACGTGCATGAAGATTGGGATTTTTAAATAGCCTGTTTTTGTTTTTTATCTGGGGTTCTCTTATTTTTTAATCCTGTTGAGATTTTGTCCCTTCGTCACCCTTCAGAGTCTTCGTCCCTTTGCCCCTTTGAGAGTCTTTGTCCCTTCGCCCCTTTTAGAGTCTTCGTCCCTTCGCCCCTTTGAGAGTCTTCGTCCCTTCGCTCCTTTGAGAGTCTTCATCCTTTCGCTCCTTTGAGGGTCTTCGTCCCTTCGCCCCTTTGAGAGTCTTCGTCCCTTCGCTCCTTTGAGGGTCTTTGTCCCTTCGCCCCTTTGAGAGTCTTCGCTCCTTTGAGAGTCTTCGTCCCTTTGAGAGTCTTCGCCCCCGCCCTTCAAGAGCCTTCGTCCCTTCGCCCCTTTGAGAGTCTTCGTCCCCTCATCCCCCTATCCTTCACTTTTTAACAACATCTGTCGGGGACGTAACAAGTGTGCACGTACAGCATGCGCGCCTCGTGCACGAGCCTACTATTGAAGCTGCCATTACGCTTTTGGCCTGAGGGGGCAATCGCGAGCATAAAAATTCAAAACTCCGTAAAGTCTCTTTAAGAGACTCGGGTTCAAATACATCGACATATACACTGGACATTTCATTTCCATCGGCTCCAATAAAACGTTTTTGTGCCAAAATGGGAGGTGGCCACCACCGCCATTTTGACCGTGTCATAGGTTCCGTCAAGCCCAGACAATTCCACAAAAGGGAAGAGAGGAGGAGCTGAGGGTGGGGCTGTAAGGCTGGGATCAACTGACGACACCCGGTCGAACTAGCTACAAGCTAACCTGAAGCTAACCCAAAACTAACGCGGAGGTGGGAGCTAAGCTAACAAAGGTAGCAACCTAGCTACAACCAGAGTTGACTGTGCACAACACCAGAGCTTCTGAGTCAGAGATACGCCGGGCTGACCGCTGGGTAAAATGGGGTGGAAGACAGAGGTCTCCCGCAAGCTGCTGAAAGCCGGCAGCCTGCGCAGCAGACAGAAGCCGCAATCAGACATAGATGCGCTGAGCTGCGGGGAGGGGAGAAATGGGTGGAAAACATCGGTCTCCTGAGAGCTCCACAAGCAGATAGTGGGAACCCAGCTCCACCAACATGTTGTATTTCAACCCATTTTCTAAAGTGCAGCATTATGTTAAATGCACTGGGTTTTACCCTATTACATTTACATTTCATGGTTAAACAGTACATGTTAAAATCTAATCTCAGCTCGG